AATTCAAGTGCTTGACACATTTCTAGGAGCTTAGTCTGGACACTTGTAGATTTGATAGGTCTTGTACCAGGGAAGTCCAAACTAAGCTCACAGAGTACTGAATTATGACAAATCTACTATATCACAGGCTGGTATAGTGAAGGCAACAGGCACATGCTAATTCAAGTGCTTGAGACATTTTTAGGAGCTTAGTCTGGACACTTGTGGATTTGATAGGTCTTGTACCAGGGAAGTCCAAGCTAAGCACATAAAAAACTGAATTATAACAAATGTACTATATCATCGGGTGGTATGATGGAGACAACGGACACGTGTTAATTCAAGTGCTTGATACATTTCTAGGAGCTTGACCTGAACACCTGTGCCCTGACTACTATACTACTTGTCAGATTTTATAACAGAGAAGTCCAAGTTAAGTTCATAGAACACTGAACTACGATGAATTTACTATATTACCTAGTGGAATGGTAAGCGTAACAGCTACATATGAATTGAGATTTCTAGGAGCTTGTCATGGACACATCTGACTTGACAAATAACTATTAGGTTGTCCTAAAAGTTTCTTTCGTGAGTTGCATTCAATTATTTTCTGTGGCAGTGTTTATATAAATAGACAATCTAATTTCTTAGACATTGATGCTGTAACAATAATGAAGCGAAATGAATTGTACACAATTTTGTAATGTAACATAAAACATAAAATATTGTGTATGAATTAATTATTAATAAAACGAAAGAAACTTTTAGGACAACCTAATATAATACTTAATACTTAATACTTAAACTGGGAAAGTCCAAGCTAAGCGCATACAGGACTGAATTACAATGAATTCAGTATACCGCTTAGCAGAGTAGTGAGTAGATTATGCATATATTAGTACAACAATACATTGTGAATACGTGACGATACGAATTTCTTTTCGATTTTCAAATATTTTCAAGAGTTCTCTTAGTTTAGGATAACGTCATCTATAGTGCCTTATCGTAGTATCCTTTGTCACTACAGCTTCGATAGACGCTTTCATACGGTGTCCAGAAATAATAACTGGCTGTTTAATCGCAAATTTAAAGAAATGATTTAAATCACCCCATTACTTATAAAAAAAATAGTGCGATTTTTCATTCATTCATTATTCTTTTATATACCTAGAAGATAAACGCTGGATACTAATGACATTAGGGCTCTGTATAACCGTTACAGAACAAGCATCACTGCTCGCCACTTTAAACACTTGCACTATCGTCAAATATGCAAATTAGCGAATTACCGAACTGCCTTATCGGTTTAGTGAAATAAAATATTTTTTCTCCAGACTGACCTTGAATAACCTCGAACCAGCGGGTCGTCGTACTTGCTTTAAAAGTCTCCGTTAGAGAATAAATACAATTAAACTTTACGGGCCCATTAAACAGAAGTTGATGACCTTGAAAGGTCGTTGTTTCCAGTCACTTAAAACAGAAATAATACTGCGCGCCGAACGTTCCCAAAGAAACCAGGTAACGATCGGTTAATTATATCCTCCTTATCACTTTAAATAGAAGAGCTCGATTCAAGTCGCCTGTGTCAAGTGTTTAGCTCTATATAGTGTCTAAGAAAAATTGTTAATATGTTAAACTGTCCATGTATAGCTAATATATATTTCATTTAATGCGTAAATGCATATAAATTTTTAGCTATTAAAGCATGACTCTGAACATTAAACAAATTAGTTAGAATGTGAAAAATATCGAAAATTCGCAACCCAAAATATAATATAATACGAATATAACATTTCTAATACGAATGTAATATTCAGAGAATTAAATTCTACACGAAAGTTTGAAAAAACTTTTAACTATCCAGCTTTGTTTCATTTCTCTCTCAGTTTCAATTAATTTATTTTTATTGGCAGGTACCTGTTTCTCCTAATTTGCCTTTTTTTTTTTGCTGATTTCTGTTTCTGTTCCTTTCCTTTTCATTTTACCAAATTATACATGATTCGTCAGCAAATATTGTGACGCAATCATCTCTGTTAACTTTCAACAGATGTCCATCGGAATTGTAGACATTTTCAACAGTGTATTACAAAATTGGTAAATATTACTTAATTAATGACTCAACACTCAAACTTAAACGCCTATAATTTCGGAAATATTACAAACTTGAAAATCTACGTTCGATTATACTTGGAATATGAAAACATCAGAGAATAAAAGCAAATTGTTTCTCAAAATTTGAAAGTTGAACAAGTTTTAAAACATTTTTTATTTGTTAACACTAAACCTACCAATATTCTATTTGTACTGCGCGTTGTCAAATGACTGAACTTAAATGCATTTCCTTCAATTGAATGCAAAAATATTTCACGTAATACCGAGTTAAGTCTCTCTTTATGCAAAAATATTTCACGTAATAAGAGTTTGAAAACGGTCATTTGACCAGTTGCGGTAGGTTCAGTGTTAATATTTCCAAAATACATTGTTAGAAAGACATATCTTTAATCTCTGGTGTCATAGGCGTTTAAGTAACGCTTACACGTTAAAATATTAATAATTTGTATAAAAATGAACAGAGATTGCGTTCACAATAAACCCTGGTCCAGTTACTAGACTCACCCCGTATAAGTATTCTCCAATAAGCAGTTTCGTTATTGAGTTTTTTCCCCTCAAACATTATAATAAAAGAAGAAAAAGTGGAATTACTCAAATAATCTATTTTATACATTTGTTCTTACACAATATCGCGACAATTTCTAAAGTAGCAAGAAGAATATTTTTTTAAATTTATAATCGTTGCAATTTGCGCATAATTTTACATTCAATTCGTGAAAATGATCTTTCACTAGAATATAATAATTATTTCCAACGGTATACAACACTCCTCGCGAACTAAATCAAATGTATTCGAACGTGTTAGTGAACAGCTAAAATTCCCAACAAGTTTTACTCACGTTATTCGGCGCAAGATGCAAGGAACGAACAAAAAAAAGTTTCGAAGTTACCCGTGACGATATTCGACCAAATAAACGATCGTTCGTTTCCACGTACGAGGAATAGTTGCAAATAGCAGCACAAGGCTCCAATTACCACAAAGCAATTAACGTTTCGCTAAACGTTCTTAAAAGTGCTAAAATTCCGCACTGATCGAACACACGCGGAGGTACTCGAATAGACGTGTCTCTAGTATTTGCGGTTTCATCCCGTGCGTAACACACTAAAACTCTCGCAAACGCGAAAGTGCCAAAAAGAAAAAAAGGATTCACACTCAGGTGGTAGGAACCGTAACTATAACCACGACTAACACGAATATTTTTAATTAGATGAACGACCGTACGTGTGCTATCATGTGGTGTGATAATTAAACGATCGCGAAGAGAGACTTTCCTCCGATATCAAACCAGAACGTGACCAATGGCAGTCGAATATCTGAGGAATTTAAGATGGGAATAACGAGGAAGCGTATACAAACATGTTATTCCACGCAAGATCGGCAACAAAAAATAACAAAACTCTGGCAACGAAATGCGTAAGTTGGATTGTATGGGAAAAAACAACTTTTGTCTGAGAACATTTCGACTTTCGGTGACGAACTACGATCCTACTGGTACGTACAAGAGGAAAACTTGACCGGGAAACTGAGCTAATTCGGAAACATGATAAATACACCATTTAACCCATACCGGTCCAAGTTGTCAACTCGTTGATAGCCGGTCGAGTTTAACTTTTGTTTAGAAATAGAAAGTACGTTATCGATGGGATTAATCAAAAAATACTTTTATTTATTTTAAGTATTAAGCGTAGAAATGAATTCTGTGGCTTTCTAAGATTGAAGCGTTAATTTATAAAGAGAGACCATACAACTTTTAATTTTCCCTCAGTCACACATTCCAAGAGAGTACATATAGTAGGAAAACTAAATGTTGAAACAGTCTGTGTGTTTCGTTACTACTCGTAGGATAAATATTTCTCTGTACAGTTACAAATAATTGAATGGAAAGGCACAATATTGATTTCTACATCGGACGGTACACTAGTTTCTCATTGTATGAAATCGCGTTATAGGAAATAGTGCTACGATGTAAGAATTTCCCTTGTATAACATGGGCGCGTTGTACGAAAGTTTACTGTATTTTTCTTTTCTGGTCTCGAATCGCCTAAAAGCATTACTTGAACTGTAACGCCAAACTTTGCCTGCGCCTGGGAGGAGACTTGGACTAAACACTAAGGATTAAAGAATAATTAGTAGCCTGCGGGTACTATCATGAGCAAATTATCGTGCCAGATGCGATTAACATTCAGCCAGAGATGAGTCAGCCATTCGTTTCAGACAAAAACAATCGTTTTTTATCAGAGTTTAATTAATGGCAATAAATAGCTGTGTACGCAGGATGTTTCCTCTAGTTTGACGATTCAAAATATAGTAAGATCCTCGATTACAGCAGGAAATTGAAGCGAAAACTTCTGCAATGGCCAAGGTGTGGCGGCACTTCCTATATTCGCCCCTAGAGGGGAGAACGACCGATACCTTTCTCACAAGTCCTTGATTCACATCCGATTCCTACAGTATGCCCCCGTTTTAGCTCAACAGACCTGAATATCTCAACAACCGTTAAAGATATGATAAAATGATTGTTATGAAAGCTCGTTGGTATAAAAGGGGAAATGGTACGGCGTAAATAGTCTTTTTTTTTTGTAGGAAATATTTTTCCTGCAGACAATTCGCAGGGCACTTACTTTGATTTCAGGTTGATGGTGTATTACTAACCGTCATCAATACTGTTATTGGTTATCAGAGATATTATATGATTTCGTATGAAAGAATTAAATTAAATTGTTTGAACACATATTTATTCGTGATATGATAGTATTTTTAAAGATGTATTCAACAATGTTTCGAATGAGGCCCATGGCATAATTTCGTGATTGTTACAGATCGATATAAGTCTCTTAAAGATAACTAACCCCATACCAGAAGATTGGAATACTTTAATTGGGTAAACACATACCAACGAAAATTTCATTTTATAAAAATTCAAATTTTCAAGATTTCTTTGGGATATATTATCTTTTTATTATGAATGGTGTTATAGTGCAACACTCTTAGGACGCAATGAACTGTCTTGGGCCTGCTCGGGCCTCCTTGGGCCTTCTCCGATTCATACGTCTTTGCGACCCCTTTTATAGGGATGTCTAATTCTGAGCGCGTGCGTCAAACTTGGACAGTCTGCGCATTGCCGCCAATAATACGCGGTAATAACGTCACATAGGTGTAAATGAATGATGTGTGAATTTATAAAATACCTACATAGGCTATTCTTATATACTTATCGAAGTAGACAAGTAGAATGTTACAAAAACTAACACTTTATTTACCGGGAGCCTATTTATAGGCTTTTTAATTGCAGTATTTAGCTATTCGAATTTATTTACTGTGTTGATGGTTGTCTACTTACAATGATCAGTGTTTGGAAACAAACTTGGCTTTCAATGTACCCGGTAACAGTATGGAGAAATTATTGTCAGCCAAGATTGGCATATGATAGTGTAGAAAATCTTTTTTTGAATTAAAGACTGTTTCTAAATAGTCCGGTAGATAAAGCGTTAATATTAATGACACTATTAGCTACTAATTTCCTATTTGATCCTTTTGGCTCCTGACATTAACCACATACTAGTTCTACTTAATCTACTTTCCCACATACTTCCATTTATCTTCTGTAATCAAAGGATGCAGAGCTATAATTACATTTTTAATTGAAAAAATAAAAAATCGATTTTTTCAAATCAACTTATATGTTTGATTTTGGTAGATTTTTTATGTAATAAATCTTTTATAGGATAGTCAACGACTTTAAGCATAGGAATTAAGGAAAACTACAAAAAAACGTACGTTAAAACTGCTGCAAACTTTTTAATTTGTGGTCAGAGCTTAACTTTGGGTTACTTCTTTTTGGATTAATTATATATTTTTAATCAATTCCTAATTCCATTAGAATGGTCAATATACATTTATAGATATCGAGAATATATGACATATTTTTTATTCAATTATAAGTTTGAGATTTATCTCAGGAGTAAACTTTACAAAATAAATATATTTTGAATGTTTTGATGTTGCGAAAATACCCTCACGAATAAAACAAATAAATGATTAACACAAGATTATTTGTGATTGAAACAAAACAAAAAAATACTGTAGTCTGAATCTTAAAGAATTCTGGAAATTAAAAATTCTATTAGAAAAACAGTCTTCTTAAAAGAACGGTGAAAACATTCAACTTTGGTAGCTTATATTTTTTAAACAATTTCGAAGATAGCACAACGATGAATTAAACTTGCATCCCTTTTCCAATTTCGTACGATCTGTAACACAGCTCGATCCAAACAAAATCCCTGACAGAATAAATCGATTGATTTATGAACGTATGGCGAGAATGATATGACTGAAAACATTGGCAATTTATTTAGAAATTATCTGCGTAATAAAATGCTTCGTGGAAGACCTTTCAGAGTCTTGTTTAAAATAGTAATTTAATCGTCGCCATTCATCAGAAACCCGCGAAGGTTTTCAGACAGTTACAAATCATAGAGGCATTAATGCCGTGTTCCTTGAAACTTGTTTACGCTTATATGAGCACGTATCAATATTCGTAAGCATTATTTCATGGTTAAAAGCGTCCCTATAAAGATAGTTATATTGACAAGAAAATTTTGCTATTTATAGAATAATATCTTTTCACGTCTAAATTTAGCACGTATTCGCCCTTCTTACAGATGAAACAAACAACAACAAAAATGTCTAAACTTACGATAACAATTATCTAACATTAACAAACATGCAAAAGTATACGAACGTTCGAGTGTTCCAAATGCAATCAATTCAATCCAGTTGTTCGCATATTCATAATGAAAATATAATCCTTATTGTCCCGTGAATATTTATAAACCATACGCGGTAACAATAGTTATTTCACTGGTAGCGTAAACAATTTGATTGGAATGATGCAACTTGAGTAAAAGTTTGAATCGCTCGCAATCGACTGATATCCATAGGTTTCACACGCGATTGAACATTATAAAATTTACATTCAGTGCGTGCAAGGAAAGCGCTGCGTTGCCGTTAATTTGCACGTTAAAGTAACATAACAGAGACTGTGTATGCGAATATAATGTGTACGATTACATTAGATTGTCAGAAATTGCATGATACCTGCGTACAATTATTTCAAATGGAAAAGTGTTTGCATGTACAGACTAAAACGTCGAGGAACCTGAAACTCAGGATTGGATCAACTTGGAAATCAAGACACCTTTCTTATCAAATATAATAACATGTATATATATATATATTTAATTAACAAACAGCTAAACTTGAAAATAGAACACTCAGAAAGAAACTTGAATCGTTCAGAATGTTTGATCACGCCTATCTACAGAACAATGGAAATGATTGAATCGTTAATACTCTATTTGTTCGAGATAAAGCCAGCAGGATCGTAAAATGTACATTTTCCCTTCTAGAATTCCTTCGCCTCGTAATTCGTATCTTAAATTAACTTTACTCCATACTTTTTATTGGATATGTAAAAGAAAATTAATTAAAATTAAATTACAATTAATACAGTTTAAATGTTTTCAAGATGAAGCCAAAAAAATGTTGTGACAATTCTTCTAAATAACAATTCATAATTGTACCCTTTTTCTACGCCTTATTAATCAAAATCTAAATGAACTGTATTCCCCACTTTTATATCATACATCGAAGAAAATTAATTACAAGATTTTATTGCATAATTTTGTTACGTGTTCCTAACTTAAATGCGTTCAAGATGAAGCCAAAAGAATTTTGTTACAATTTTTTTAAATACCAATTCAAAAGGTACGCTTTCCCTACGCCTTGTTATTCCAATTATAAATGAACTATATTCGCCCACTTTTATTGGATACATCAAAGAAAATTAATTACAAGACTTCGTTGCATAACTTTCTTACGTGTTCCTAATTTACATGTGTTCAAGATGAAGCCAAAAGAATTTTTGTTACAATTTAGAAATATCAATTCAAAATACAAATTTTTCCTTCACTTCGTTATTGGTAATTTAAATGAACTTTAATGAAAATTATTTACTAGATTTCGTTGCATAACTTGGTTACTTGTTCCTAATTTCCATGGGTTTGTATTATAATTTTTGGGGTCCAGACATTGTAAAATAATGTTACGCTTTCTTATGGCAGAAAAAAAAAAACTTTGCTGAACGAAGCGAGTGCCGCTCGATTCAGGAGCAATAAAATGAATCGTGGTTGCATTTTATCGAGGGAAAATTACGTTAATTGCATTCTAAAGACGCAAACGTGCACTGACCTGTCGTTGGTCCCCGCGACCCGTGCGAATAATGGTGGTCGGTGTCCACACACTGGGTGACACTACTTAGTTTCTGGTTTAGGCAGAGAAGGGCGGCCGAACGGAGGAATCTTCATGGGACGTTCACTATCATCGTGAGTCTTGAACTAGACTGTGCACAGGCACCGAAGAACTTGTTCCTTTCCCTCTTCCTTTTCTTTCAGTCCAACTCAAGCTGGAGGCGGAGGGACACTCGAAGGTTGCCTTCGGCTTCAACGAAACCAAAATGGTGAGCATATCGTGGCATCATAAATCCGGGGAGTCTTCGTTTCTGCGGTTCCCAAGGTCTCAGCTGGACCAGAAGTATGTTCTTCTAGTAGCTACGAGTAGTAAGCCAGCTGTATCTAGAAAGGAGATTAGTTCACCAGTTCTCGATTTGACCCATATTTTCTCCAATGTTATTTGCAAAATACGACTATCCCCCATTTGTATCAGAATCACGGTTACTTCATTAAATTCATTTATTTCGACGTAAAATAAAAATAAAAATTCAAGACAAAAAATATCAGTCCCTTCGAAAAATAACAAATATACCAAATGTACCAAAATTATATTTTATAATTTTAATATCGGGTTTCTCCACATATAACTTTTCTTCTCGTTTCTTATTTTTTAAGCATTTCTTTCGACGTGCCAATACCTGTGATATTTTAATCGAATTATACAACATAAAGACTATAATTGTTTGTCCCTAACTATTAGATATGATGTTTCAAAATTGTACGATTCAAAAAGGAATACCAAATTTTGATTTTCAAATTAAAAAGTTGAAACCACTGGCATTAATTATCGAGGAAATTATAATATTTTATGTTCAACTTGACACGGTTGACTGCTTTCTGTGCGCGAACAAAGGTGAATCCCTTTTTTTCAAGATTAATATTAGCGTTAACAAACAAAAAGTAATAGAATACGACGATAAAGTTTTGTTTTTAACAGATTTCACTTTTAGAAATCCATTATTTTGCAAACCGTATAAAAGTGAAATCATGTCAAAAAAGTAAGTACCGTGTAAATCTGGAGGAGAGTGGGGAGATAGGTGTATAAAAATTAATTTTACAGTAATTCTGATGACTTAATTAAATCTGCTTTCCGATCGAAGCTTTTGACAATATAACTAATACGATTGACTGGAAAGATACAGCGTTATGTTCAAAATGACGTCAAAACAATAACGTTGGTACACCAGCACAATTATGTAACAGTATAAAGGAAAGTAGATAGCGGTGAAATGGAGACATTTCCCTTTTCCTCTGCACAGCCATATTATCCTACTACTTATTTCAATCGAGAAAGTTATCAAAATGACAATTGAAAGTATCAAGCTAATAATATCAAATCAAACAGAAGCGTAAAGCTGGACAATGAAATTATTTAACAATTATTCAATTCATTTTCCATCCTTACAGTTCTATTTTATTTGATACTATTTATTTTCAATCACATATTTAATTTCACGAGCACGCAGATTCACTATAATATAGAAATAAAACTTTCATCGGGAAATCACTACACAACAATTCACTTTTCCGTTATTAATTATAATATAATATTGTTATATAAAGCTAATACCATAAGCATTCGTACTTTCTATGTCTATTGGTGAAATTTCTCTAAATTAAACGATAAGTTTGATGTTTACAAATAAATATTTAATTATAAATATATACACGTATAAAGTTTATTCGTGTAGATATTTATAGTACGACATCCATTTGCAAACATCAAACCTATCATTCAATACAGACTTTCTTTAATAGACATAGATGGTACGTATACTTATGAGACTTGACTGTATGCGTGCGTGTACGTATCTATATGTATATTATATTTTATATATTTTTTCATTTGTCTATATTCTCATGAATTACACCATATTTTTATTTGTCATAAATGCATAAACATTCGCAGTTTAGTTCCAGGTTCAGAAGATAAGACGTGCTTTCATTTAAGTTTCAATTGTTTTTCTGTATCTGTGAAAATATGAATTTGCATAAATATATCCGTAGTTTAACTACATAGTACATCAACGATAATACACATCTTATAACGTTTAGAATATAAAACACACTTTCGTTTAACTTCCAATTCTTTTACTCTACCTATAAAAGTATCAATTTACCCAAACATCCGCAGTCTACTGATAACTATATTTTTGCATTTATGCACGTTGTCATAGATTTCCCCATATCTCGATTCGCCACAAATGCACAAACATCCGCGGTCTAATTATAGTGAATCCGATCAAATATACAACACTTATGTCACTCGGTACAGGTGTATTTGCTTACATAAACGAAGGAAAAGGCGCAGGCCTATGGAGACACGGCAAAACTGGAGGCATGATCGTAGAAATCGTGCGTGTTTTCACTGCTCCCCGACTTACCGCAATGTGTGGCACAATTACATCCATGGACAGTCTATATCCTACACGTAGAAAGTATTCAAACGAGATTTATTTGAAAAATTTCTAATCGCGGCCCATCCGACGAATGCTTGTCGCCGATGTAGAGCGATCGTGTGTAAAAAGTTGGGTCGAGCTCGTAACCCGAGCATCGTCGTAGTCCTCTTTTGGTAGGAACCAGATGAGTTCACTTAGCGGTCCTGTGTTAGATGCACTTGGTCGTATAGCCAATAAACCATGCGAAACGGGGGGATAAAGGCCACAGGGTGGGAGATTCCTCCTTCCAGGACCTGTGTGCACCATCGGTTCTCACCTTTATCCGAACGAACACGGCGCCATGCTCGACCACCGGTTATTATAGCCGATATATGTAGTATTTTACTGGACCAGGATGCCCGGTCGAGAGTTTTCTTGCGTCTCTCGTACGATTTCCCAATTGTTTTTGCAATACAAAAGTCGTTCTCCGTCCAGGGCGTCTTGTTTCGTCGTTTTACATCCTCCTCTGTCCTCGCGTTGCCCCTTTTTTCTTTCCCGGCGGTTTCCTCTTTTTCCTCTCCTTAATCGTTATTCTACAAGTTGCTCGTTGCTTTTTATTTGGAAATGTACAGTGCTATTTTTAACCTGGGGTACTCTTCACCTTCGCGGTCTTGCTCCTTTCCTCGTGATTTTGCTTACAGAGAGGTCGGCGTTCCTCTTGTCTTGGGGTAAATAAAAATATGTTTGCGAGACTAAATAATAATCGTTGCTTCGAAACAACTTTTGTTGGCTGAATGGTGGCGACGACACTCTGTGTACACCTAATCCTCGATTTCTATGGTACCTTTTTTTTCCATGACTTTGTTACTACGCGATTTTCAAATTAACGAAATTCCGAAAATAGAAACTGTCGAAGGTAAAATTTACGTTGTGCGTGTATTTGTACAGTCATTTTTTTGGTTCGTTTGTTAACATTGACGTCACAGATGAAAAAGGGAATTCCCCCTTTCTATACAAAAAAAAAACATTCAATCGCGTTAAGTTTAAGTTTAAGAAAAATTGTTACAACTTTATCGATAATAAATATTTTTCGGAGATATTTGGAGGAAAGAAGCAAATTACTTGTTAACATTGTAATTTATATTTTTTGATATGCAATTATCAGGATGAATAACTACAACTTTTATAGCAGTTTTGTAATACGATTAAAATTTTACAGGTTTCGCCGTGTGGAAAGAAATTTAAGAAAAACAAGTGAAAAAAAAGTCATGTATGAATGAAACCGAAACTAACATTATAAAATGTATATTTTTGTGTTAACTAAGTGTTTAAAGTCACATGCACCTTTCAAGGTTATTAGGGACCACGTTTTGCCACGGTTTAATAACCATTGGTTATTTTACAAAATGGACTGATATTTTTTGTTTTTCATTTTGTATTTTACTTTTATTTCATCTTAAAAAAATAAAATGAATTTAATTAAATAAGTGATTAATTTTCCAAGTAAAAACCATAATAGGTGTACGAATTAATATAATATAGTCTTTTATTTAACTAGCTGCATACAAAACACAGATTAAAGTACGATCGAACCTAAAATCTCTTTCCATTTCTGACACTTTTGCAAAATGGAAGCTACTTAGTTCGTAACGATGCATATATCCATGTAAAACAAAATAATTGAATTAAAGGAAATATGTTTATTTGTACGATACGCGATAGAAAGAAAAATTAAAAACCGATAATAACAGTTATGCTTATTACCGATGCCAGCGTGGCTGGAAGTAATTGAGCGGATTCAATATTAGCTTGGTCTGGTTAAGAATAGCCACGATGGGAATCCCGTTTGACCACCTTGCGTGCCGGTTGCTTACTGACTAAATTAGGGTGAATGTTCCGTTGTACAAAAGCCATTGATATTATTTTGGTATCGACTGATAATCTTTGATTATTTACGCACGAATTCAAACCGTAACCAACCGCAATAATAAAATTTTGTATCATTACTTATTTCAATATTTAATATATTTGATTGATTGTAGCTTTTGTATTTAATATTTCTTATTAAAGGAAATGGAAGAAGAAATACTTATAGATAAATAATTTAAAAAACAAATGATAATTCGTAAATAAAAAGTTGGTTATACCGATTAAACGAACTAAATTTGTCTGTGTTCATTTCCATTGTGGAATTGATTACGTTTTATACCACCAAACGGTTAAACATGTGATTCATTATAGGCCTGAAAATATCTGCGTTTGCTAATATTTTTGGCGCCGACCCAACCATTTAATATACGAAAATTCGTACAGAGAGCAAACTTTTTAATTAGTATTGAATTCTCTACAAGTGCATTTTTTATTTTTGTTTGCAGTCTTCGGTCATGCGCTATTATTAAACGCAATTTTTGGCACGGTCATATCGGGCATTGTAGAGGAAAATTTAATAGGATTTTTGTAATCTTTTAGACAATTCTCTAAATATTTGTATTTTTTACTTTAACATAAAACATGTCTTGTACATACAAATATTAACCCTTTGCACTCTATGGCTACTCTACATGGTCTCTCATAATTATTTCACAAATATTCAAAGTTCAAAGGATTAACCCTTTGTGGTCCTGTATCGATTGAGGTTCGACAATAGTATACTGAAATCAGAAAATTTGGGCCGCAAAGGTTTAATATATTAAAGTAATCGTAAAGTTTGGAACGCGATAGCATCCCAAAACAAGTGAGATACCATACTGAAATTTTCAAGGTCATGAGCATCTGTTCACCCCTGGATCATTCAACATTAATCGTAATTAACAATGAAGTGGTTGTATCAGCACTCTAATCGTGATATATCGAGATCAAGTGACTATACCAATGAAACATTCATTTAATTTCGATTTCAAAAATCGAAAATCACGTTTTTGCCCGATTTCTCTTGTGTTATTACATACAAAATTTATATACAAATCTGGGCCATATTTTACAGAATTTGTATAGATTTTTTAATTGAGAATCCATTAAAAACAAAGATGAAAAATGGCAGTTTTGCATCGAAATCGTCATTAGCACTAAAATTATCTTCGTATCAATAAATAGATATTAACCTGATTTTTTTCAAATTTTTAACATTAGGAGCTACATTCTCAAAACCTTTAAA